TTCTTGTTCGACAATAAAGATTTTTTTGACTAAAAAAGAATTTTTTTTTCTTTTTCTTGTTTAATAATCTAAACCAACCAAGCCATTAAAAAAAAGGCTCGGATTAGGGCATGTGGTCGGGCTCCAGAGGAGTCTCGTTCAGCTTCGTTGGTTCACAGTCACTCCTTTGGCTCGTTCTTGGCTGTTCAACTATCCACCTTCGTCGACTCTAGTCTTCCTCTCAGATCAGAAGTTTCTTCGGTTCGTTCATGGTTGTTCGACTATCCTCCTTCGACGACTTGTCCTTCTTGTCAGATCGGAAGTTTGGATCAGAGTTTCGGCTCCGTCTTAGCTTCCGTCTTCGGCGTGTGGGGAGTCGTCCGTCCCGTCTTGGCTTCTGCGTGTGGGGAATTGTCCGTCCCGGCTTTGGCGTACATGGAGTCGGCTTGATCTCGGATGCTCCGAGCTTTTTTCTCTTCCACTTCCGACGATCTAAGATCGTTCTTCGACGACAATTAAGGTCGTTGGCTCTGATACCATGTTAATTTGAGAGGTACGAGAGGGAAAAAGCTTAAGTTTTATTGCATAAATTCTTCCCTATATATAGATCTATACAAGATATTTAATAAGGAAACAAATAACTACACAATAATGAAAGATAACTCTTCCTAAATCAACTGCCCATCTATGGAAGGTGTTTCAACGTGATTCATGATTGCTTCCCACGGATTGCTCTCTGTGACTGTCAGATCCTTTGCACAGGGAACGGCTGGATTTCAACATTTCTTAATCTCATTAAAAGTTCTGGTGGCAGTCGGGGTCTAATGGAAATCACCTTTCTTGAGACAGTCAGTGACAGGAGATACAATGGTGTTGAAATTTCAGATAAATCTCCTATGGAAGATAGCTAGTCCGTGGAAGCTGCGGATGTCCCGGATGTTCTAAGAAACATGTCATTCTACAATGACCCACTCCTTCTCGGGATCTACAAAGACCCCTTGGGCTGAAACGATAAAGCCTAGAAAGATAACACGGTCTACAAGGAAGGTACATTTCTTGGGATTAACTAAAGTTGTTCCTTAAGACCTCGCAAACTTGCCTTAAGTGGTCCAAGTGCTGACTTGTCGACTGACTTTAAATAAGAATGTCATCAAAGTAGACGACGACAAACTTTCCTATAAAAGGATGTCTTGGGACGTTACTCAACCCGAAAGGCATGACTAACCACTCGTAGAGACCATCCTTGATCTTGAAGGTAGTTTTCCACTCATCACCGGGTCAGATCCGAATCTGGTGATATCCACTCTTGTGATCAATCTTGGTAAATAGAGTGTCTCCCATCATCATATCAAGCATATCGTCTAACCTTGGGATAGGGACACGATATTTGACTGTGATTTTGTTGATAACACGATTATCAACACACATTCGCCAGGATCCATCCTTCTTAAGAGTAAAAAGGGATGGTATAGCGCAGTGACTAAGGCTCTCTTTGATAAAGCCTTGTTGTTGTAACTCATCCACATGCTTCTTGAGTTCAACATGTTCCGTGGGGTTCATGCGATAGTGTGGCAGGTTAGGAAGGGAGGCTCAAGGGACAAAATCTATGGCATGCTGGATGTCTTTAAGTGGAGGTAACTGATCAGGAAGATCATCAGGGTAGACATCAATAAATTGACCAAGAATAGGTTGGACTTCCTGAGGGATTGGTTCATCAGACTAAGTGGAAGTCTCATGATCGACCAAGGCGTACATGGGTGCGCCTTGAGCAATCTCAGCATCCAGAACCTTGGCGGTGACCATGTTCAGTCCTTTCTTGAATTTAACAGGGTTGGATTTGGAGCTATCATTAACCCGGTTCTGTGATGGCAAAAGCTTGATCTTTTTCCCGCATGTTCGAACATGCAAGTGTTTGAACACCCATAGATGTGGACATCGTTGTCAAAAATTTAGGGACGGCCCAAAAGGATTTGTCCAACATCCATAATCAATATATCACACAATACATTCTCCTTATAGTCAGCGAAGGAGATATGTACGAAGCTTTGTTCCTTCACTACCTTATAAGGGTTGGGGTGAGGAATGACAGACAGATCCAACTTGGACAACATTATGGAGGAGACAACATTGATGCAGCTGCCACTATCCACGATGACCTTACAATTCTTATCCTTGATTTTGGCGTAGGTGTGGAAGATCGCAGTCCTACGCCAGGCATCGGTGGTAGCAGGGTGTGACAGCGCACATCTCTCCACACAGATGTGAGAGGTGTCAAGTTTCTGAAGGCAATGAAAGACAGCAGTGTCATCCCCCTCCTCGAAGAAATCACCTCATCTTCCACTTGATGGATCTAATCAACCTTGGGCTCAAAATCTTCCTCAGTGATCTCCTCGATAATCAAGACTTTGTAAGGACTAGAGCATTGAGAAGCGATATGCCCATACCTCTTGGCATCGAAAACACTTGGTCCCGGGATTGGACCATGGGGTATTCGGAGTGGGAGGCTTCCTAACACTAGATCAGGGTGTAAGAGGACTAGTGGGTGGTCGGGTAGTGCTCCATGGGGTCGGTCGGGCAGTGGAGGTGTGAGGGGTGGAACTAACGGAAGGTTTGTAGGAAGGCATGGAGTCATTGTGTCGGCTAGGGTGTTGGGAATGAGTTTCCCAAGTCTAACACTAGGCTGTAGGCGTTCTCAAGTGTCGTAAGTCGTAACGTTATGAGCAAATAACTCATTGCAAAGGTCTTCTTGCAACCTGGTACGAAACATAGACAAGATCTGCGTGGGGGTGGTAGACGTCTCCCCTTTGCAGCGAATCAGGTACTCATCAAAAGACGCAATGTACTTCTTAACATGTTTTTGCCCTGAGTCAATCTATTCCACCTATCCAACAATCTGGGGAAGTACGTGGGAGGCAAGTACTTTTGCTTAAGTTCATGCTTCATGGATGGCCAATCACTGATGGGATACTTATTTCGGGCTTCTCTAAGGTTTTCTAAATTTAACCAAAACTGACTAGCCCTATCCATGAGTTTCTTCTCGACAAAACTGACATTCATAGCCTCGAAGATATTATACCACTTAAAAAAACTATCCATACATTTGACCTAGTCCAGGAAGAGATGGGGATCGAGGGTTCCATCAAAGGTAGGAGCATCGACTTTAATGTTCTTCATTAGGGTCATGGTTGTGGTTGTGCCCATACTGGGGAGCGCGATGAGTGGCACGATGCAATCTCTCATCTTGATAGGTATCATCCCCTTATATGGAAGGAGGTCTAGATGGGGTGTAAGGGGTTGGATGATCCCTAGAGCGCTCTAGTGTGTCGAAACATTCAGTTGTGTCACTACGAAGTTCTGCTAGGTCGGCTTGGTTTTCTTTAAGTTGCTGACTAATTGTATTCATTTGACTTACTAGTAAGTCTAAAGTCCTTCCAAGTTATTCCGGATCCATTGGGAACACTACGGGACACTTACGGTGATTAGGATGTAAATGACAACAATTAAAATGAATGATAACACACTTATAGCTTGCAAAAATGATGTAGTAAATGTATGGACAGCAAACATATAATGTGGTAAATGAAATAAATGCAATGTTGGAACAACATGCTAAGCTTAATGATGGTAATTAAAACTCTACGATGGAACAACAAGCTAACTCCAAATATGCTTCTTTTTAATTTATTTCAATTATGTTCATCTTTTAGAAATATTTTCATCAATATAAATATGAGATTAATGCTCCAAAATTTTTAGGGTGGTGGCGTGCAGCTTTCAAGTGATTGTTTGTGACAACTATGACGGTGTTGGTTGTGGCGAAGGTCGTAGGTTGGAGGTAGAGACAATCGAGAGGAAGTTGTTGCGCTCGAATGCGCATAAATGTGTGATTTATGTTAGTTTTAATAAAAAAAATTTATAGAAATAGCGTGAGGCGAGGTGTGCCTTAAGGCGGGCCTCAACCAAGCTGAGGCCAAGCCTCATAAAAAAGCTAGAGGTGTTATTCACTACAATTGCGTTGATACGACGCGAGCCTCATGTTGCGCAATTTTAAACAACGGTCAGATGAACTGAAAAAGTAATATTTTTGTTATCAACATTTTTAAAAAAGTGGAGATTATCATGATTATATTATCCATACACGAATCAAATTTATGATTTGTACGCTAATGCTATTGTAGGTAGGAATGCAGCATATATTTAGAAAAACTATAGTATTATTGGATAATCAATTTGTTTATATGCTAGTAAGATTTTACTATGAGGAAATTAATGAGAAAAATATAAACAAGGAATATTAATATGGCTTTTATTGATCTTGGAAAGACATGATTGAGCATTATGATAATTGATTTAGTATAATAAGGAAGAATGATCTGTTAAATATATGTCAAAGCTATTAAATTTATGTAAGATGGATTACTGAGTAGTATTAGAAGTAGTTGTAGAGTGGTTTATGATTTTAAACTTATATTTGGATTAAATCAATAATCACTATTGAATCGATGTATTTTCTATTGGTTATGGAAATGCATGGATATTTAAAGTAAGGTGTGCTGGTGCATATTTTTTTGTTGATAAGACAAGTTTCATTGGTAAGACAGACCAGTCGGTAACACTTGATGATAGGCTATTTGACTCTACTATATCTATTCTATCATGATTTTCAGATTCTTGGTCTTCATTCTAGGAACTTACTTTTAATATTAGCATGTTATGCTTTGTTTGGGACAGTTTTTTTATTGCTTATAAAAGTAATTTTTTAATGCAAAAAATTTAATTTTTGTACTAAAAAGTTGCTTTAAGAAGCAGTAAACAAGCCGTTCCAAATGGAGCCTTAGTGATGTTATGGGGACTAGTTTACATATTGGTTCTTGATTTTTTTTTTCTTGGCGGTTTAAACAATTCAAGTGCAGACCTCATAGGAAGATGTTTTTCATCTTAACCATTCTGAGCCACTGCTCTCAGTCCCTGGTTCTTGATTCCCACTTTGTTTTCTAAATTTTCTTTCTCATTTCGGACAGGACAGCCCAGCTGAGAATCGTTGGAAAGATATGGGCACAGGCCATCTCTCCATCAAATGCAAAGAAGGTGTCCCAAAGGCTACAAAAGAATCCAAGCCAACGATCATTGTTCGGAATGATGTCCGTAGTAAAAAATCATATCGTCTATTTAGCCGGAATATATTTTCATGATATCTGCTTTATCTTGACTGTTTTTTACTGATATTGCAGAGTAAAAACTAGATGAATATTTGGTTTCTTTACAAACCATAAATATTTTTCACTAGCCATGCTTTTTTTATCTAAAGAATTACGAAAATAACCTGTTTTGCCTTCAAATACTTCCTTACAGGCAGGAAGAATTTTACTCAACGCTCTCATATACCCTGGCATTAAGATGAACATTCAAAAGACTTCTATTGTCTCAATCTTTCACACTGCTGTAAGTACCCTCTTATGTGAAATTGAACATGTTCTGCTTCGTAGGTTTTGTCTATTTATTTATTTTTTTTTGTGTAAAGGACTTAGGCTTCGTTTGGGACGGCTTTCTTAATGCTTCTTAAAGCAACTTTCGATCCTAAAAAGCTGCTTTAAAAACAGTAAGAAAGTCATCCCAAATGAAACCTTAATGATAAGAACATATTCATATTGCTTTCAGGGTGGCGAACAAGGAGATTCAAGCCAAGTAATTGCACGCACATACTTGCTAAGATTGAAATCCTTGGAAGATACTACAAAACTGGCCGAAACAATTAAGGAATATACTCCATCAACATGAAGACTGAATGCAGTCTTGAAATCCATTTTCTTTTTGTGATTCAGTGATCTAATATTTGTAGTGTTAAATCATCTCTTTACTGGTCCTTAAACTTTAGGTCAATGTGTTTTTCAGTTCAAAGAGCAGAAGGGCGACAAGCTCTGAAAGCGTGAGAAGTTAGAAGAAATCTTCACATGAAATTTTCTGATTTGATCAAATCAATCTTCACATGAAATCTTCTTACTCATATGCTTTCCACATTTCCTCTCTCTCTCTCTCTCTCTCTCTCTCTTTATATATATAAGAGGTTATGTACCCCGAATTATTTTTGTCACATTATTATTTGATTAGATGAATCAATAAAAGTTCTCCAAATTAATGTTTGTTACACTGCATTTAATTAAGTTTGATTAAAAAATGAATCTCAAATATTTTTTTTGTTATATTCTATGCATAGTGGGATAAAGGTTTATTGTTGTTGTTATATATTTGTTTTTTATTATTAGTATTATCTGAAAAATAAAATTCTGTTAAGTATTGTAGAGACGATGATTCTCAGGTGGATGAGTGGTTTACTTTTAGAAATAGAATGTAAAACTAGTATATGTTTGAAGAGGTTGGAGTAGCTCCAATGGAGGATAAGATTAGTCGACTTAGATGATTTGGTCATGTAAATCATCGGTCTTCCAATGACCTAACTTTGATAGTAGATCTATTAGATCTAGCTTATGTTACGAAAAGTAGAGGTAGATTTAAGATGATTTGATTAGAAAGTACTAGAAATGATATATTTTTTTATTAAATTTGAATGAGAATTTGATTCTTAAGAGGTCATAACGAAGAAAAAAAATTTATGTTGTCGACCTCATGTAGTAGGATAAAGGTTTGATGTTGTATTATTATCTGAAATAATGGACAATTTAACTGACTCCTATTAAAGAAAAAGGAGAGTATCACATGCTGGTCAACTCCCTTGGTCGACCATCACAAGATTAATAGGAGGTTTGCCAAAGGGTATTTATCAAATGATTTTGCATCAACCAAGTGAAAAGATCCCTTTTTGTTTGTGTTTTTTCCAACATAAAATAAATATAAATCATTAATCAAACCAAGCTTTTATCTTCTAAATACTTTTGGATCCTTGGAGGCACAAGAACTTTTGGGCTTTGTTTGGGGCAGCTTTCTTAATGCTTTCTAAAGTATCATTTTAGTACAAAAATTTTTTGTTTCAAAATTTTTTTGTACTAAAAAGTTATTTTAAAAAACAATAATAAATTACCCCAAACGAAATCTTAGTTGAATTATTTGAACTATTTTTTCTTCGAGAATGTCTACGAGCTAGCGGGGTTATTCTAGGGTTTGGATGCTAACAATAACATCTTACTCTAATCCCACTTCAAATTAAAATTGGTTCAAAACCTTCAATCAATTTGATTTTTGGTTAAGCCACACTAACAATATGCTTGCTCAATGTAATCTTGATATTATTCAAGCAAGGCTTGTTAAATATTCATGTATGAATACATTTATAGATACTCGCTTAATTATTATGCATGCATTCACATATTTATTCTAAGCACACAAAATTTGGTTCAAGCCTAGCTCTTCTTATCTTATAAGTTAGCTCATTCATTTCAAAGCATATATTAGCTCCTTCAGTTCAATTTGCACTTCGTTTGGGACAATTTTTTTCGCTGCTTTCTAAAACGACTTTCAAGTACACAAATTTCTATTCATGAAATTTTTAGAAATTTTTGTACTAAAAACCAATTTTAGAAAACAACAAAAAGCTGTCTCAAACAAAGCCTTAATCTCGCCTATAATATCCTTCAACTTCATAGATAGGTCAAAACTAATATTCCTTATCAATTACCAACATCATTCTAATACACAAATCAATTATTTATTTCTTTAGAAATTCAAAAAACTTTATATTCTTCTTTATTTATTGAGTTTGCATGTTCATTTAAGGCTTTGTTTGCAACAGCTTTTAGCTACTATTTATAGGCACTTTTAAGAAAATTTTATACTAAAAAGTTAGAAAGTAGTAAGAAAATTATCATAAATAAAATCTAAGGCTTCATTTGGGATAAAATTTTTACTGAATTCTAAACCAGCTTTTTAATTAAAACTTTTTTGAACTAGAAAATTTTGAGCTAGAAAGTTGCTTTGGAAAATAATAAGAAAGTTGCAAGGCTTCCTTTGGGATGGATTTCCTATTACTTTCTAAAGCAACTTTTTTGTTAAAATATAAAATTTTTAACTAAAAATTTACTTTAGAAAGCATTAAAAAAATCATCTCAAATGAAGCTTAAGTCTCAAAAATAATAAATTTACACCTTCATTCAAAGAAGGAAATGCATGACATTCACTACTAAATTAGATTAGTGCTAACTATCATATATCCAACAAAATTGTTAAAAATCTAACAGACTCATTACAGCTTAAAGATATCATTAATTTTCAGATATAAAATTTTTTTCATTTACTTTAATAACAAGAGGAGATAATTATTTCTTAAGAATTTAAGAATTTAAATTACATAATTTACCATTTGTCTGTATCATTAAAAAAAAACCGAGTGGGTAAGGATCCCTATCTTTCTTCCTGGAAGTACGTGTTCTGTACTTCTACTAATGAAAGATCGCCTCATACAGAACTAGACAAAATCTGGAAGGACCCAGTATCACCTTGAAAATTTAAATTTATTAATATATTATCCTGACTATAATATTACCGATATGCCACTTTTACTGAGTAGGCCGAGCCCATGTGACTTTGGTGTGAAAATATAAATATTATTCTTCCAAAAATAAATATATATATATATATATATATATATATTCGGGGTTGTGCTTTAGCTTTGATGTCTCAAGGAAGATCTTGATAGAACAGCACTGTTAACTTTTATCAAGGTGGCCATATTAAGCTGGCTGGCTGTGGGTTATGAAAATTCGTGCCACGACCTATTCTCGTTTTCGGGGAGAGTATTAACATATTAAGTTTCGAGATAAATTCTCAGAAGGCATATTGGATTTGTAGACAATACACTACTAATTGATTTCACTCTCATTTTGAGAGATCTTTATGATATGGATTTAAGTTTCTATAGGCTTACCCCTCCCGATAACGAGCGAAAAAAAAAACTTTTGATTAAGTCTAGTCGTCAATCAGAAACGTCATACCCACAAATACGTGATATCTGACATATAGTAACAGCATCGGTTGGTATTTGAAACAATGTCGGCAGCCATTAGTTGTGTCGTTTAAAGGTACATTGTAAAAATTGAGTGGATGTTTATACTAAGGGGCCAACTTTGTCCTGCCGAAAAGGT